TTTTTTATTCTCATCATCTTCGTTTTGGGCTTTTGTTTGGTTTGTTTAGCGTTTTCTTACTCATCTCTATCTTACTGACAAATATATCTTGCAAGTACTGCATGCAGAAGAAATTGCATAGCAAAGTGCTTGACATATGGGGTGTATATGTATAATGCTTCATGAAATTTGAGTAACTCGGGTCCACTTCAAGCCACAAAAAGTCATAGTCTTGTTCAGGTAGGTTTCTTTCTTTTTTTTTTTTTTTTTTTTTCAAGTTACGTCAGAGAGTAAACAGGATTATCTGCTCCCTAAGGCATAAACAGCCTGCACAAGATCCCAGCAGTCAGGGCCACTCCCACCACACCCAGACAGGGAGCAGGGTAGGGGAAGAGGTGGTGGCAAGCTCTGAGACCAGATCATTAACATATTTGTGATGGATCAGGTTCTAGACAAACAGGGCCCATAAACAAGCACATGTGGGGCTGTAGCTGAGGTGAGAATGCAGTACTCCTCTTCCATCACTGGCGCAGAGGTTAGCAGCCCAGGACAGCGCTGAGATTGAGTCGCTGGACAGAGGCTGTGGGTGGGAGTCCCATATGAGGGCAATCAAGACCATGATAGCCTACAGTCTCTTGAGGACCTAACAGGTGAAATTACTATAACCTACTCTGTAATTGTTCAAATTGATAGGGAGAGTTGTTTAGCTTCATCAGGAAATCCGTCTTGGTGTGGGGGCAACTTGGGATAGAGGAAAAGCCCAAAGGGGAGGTGAGTGCAAATCACTGTTTCCCACAGGGCTTTTGTATAGTGGGCTGGGCAGAGAGGCTAATGCCAGGTCACTCTTGAAGGAGACAGACCCATCACTTACCTCCTGGGTTGTGCTGGTGACAGGCACTCCTGTCCCGGTGTTTCTAGGTCCCACTCCAGCTCTCTACTCTGTTAGTGGCTTGCTAGGGATAGTGTTCAATTTGGATATTGCTTCCTACTCTTGTGTTACCTTGGAACTTAAAAAATCTAATGTCCTCTGGTGAAAGCCCTGCACAGACCTGGCACAACTCTGCACTAGGAGACCTTTGCAAGCACTGCAGGTCGCTTAAGTGATACCTGCCTTCACCTCTTTACACCTGGCTTCTCCACAGGCATCTCTGCAGGGTCTAAGGAATGTCAGGATGGGGAGAGTGGTACCAGGGAGACTCTGTGCCTGACCGACACTGAACTCTCTGCTTCACTGGGTTTGGAGATGGGTGTTTCACTGGACAGCCTGGCTTCTTCTGCACCCTGCTGCCTGCCACAGCCACACTGGGGCTAAGGCTGCAGCTCCTGCTCAGGCAGGTTATCCCTTACCAAGGCTGGATCTCAGCCAGAGTCCCAAATGGCCCTTTAAGCATCACAGCTTCCACACACCAGCACAACTAGGACAAATGACAAGAAAGGAATATGCAATTATTTTACTGCTATCAAAACCTAAATCAGCAAATCCATCTAGCAGCCTGGTAATAGGGAAAAATAGTGCTTGGACTCCCTGTGCCTCCTTCAGCCCAGCAGAGATGGTGATGAAAAGCTGAGCAGTGTGGTCTACCTTACCAGCTCCCAGTTCTTCCTTGTAGCTGAATTCACTTCAGCTCATGGGATGATTAGGCTGTTTGCCACAGAAAAAATTTGCCACTTGGGATTTCTCCCTAGATACCTAGGAGAAGTGTAATTTGCCCTTCCCTGCTTGGCTGAGCTGCCAAGTGTGCTGAAAGCCACTTTCCCTGCAGCTTTCAATCTCAGTTCCTGCAGCCCTGCATGCTTGCAATAGACTCCTGAGGTCCTGTGGACTGTTCTTGCACAGAAACCTCACAGCAGCCTCGTAAACCCACAACAGTTCCTTAGTAAAGCCCTTTAGGTATAATGCTATGGCTCAACAAGGACCTCAGCAATCTATTATTACTTTTTTGGGTGTCATCTGTGTTCTTTCTGATTTTATGTACATAAACTCAAGAATTAGTCATGCTCCCACAAAAAAAAAAAAAAACAAAAAAAACCACGTTGCTGTGTGAGTTTTGACCGAGGAAAATTTGAATTCTTTCTAGCTCATCCTGAGGGCATCAAAAAGCAGGCAGTGGGCCCTGCCTGTTCATCTGCTACTGAGAGGTTTTTGTTTGCTTTTTTCCTTTTTCAAGGCACTGTGTCCTTGGGTACTTGTTTGCTATATATATCTGCTCTATAAAAGAAACATATTTCCTATAAATTACTATGTAAATGAAATAATTAAAAAACCTCATTCTCATGAGGAATCATACAATGGCTCAAATTGTTTGAAATACTGAAAACATCTTTTAATTGTAGAATTCTATAGAAACTTGGGTAGATACATAAATGGCCACGACAAAATGTGTTCTTATTGCCTGAAAATTTTCACAGAAATACAAACATAGACAGCAAGCTTACTGACATCCAACAGGATGAGAGATCTAAACTTGCAAAATGAATAGACATGGCACTCCTAAGTAGTTTGTATGTCTGACCGTCCTTGAAGTTCTTCTGCTTATATACCAACCTCAATATACAAAGAACCAAGATCAAATTTTTTAATGCACATCACATAACAATGTAAAATTAAGCACAAAAAAGTAAACAAATTGTAATCCTGAAAACTTCTTTTTTTTTTTTTTTTTTTTTTTTTTTTTTTTTTTTTTTTTTTTTTTTTTTTTTTTTTTTTTTTTTTTTTTTACCTAGGGCATTGACTCATTCCAAGGATGATTTCCTGTATAGCTCTGTTTTAAGTGAGACACACATCTTGTTTCTGCACAGGACATCGATATCAGATGGAGATACAAGAATGAATGGTAGCTAACAGAAGGGAAAGAAATGTAATCACAAGTGGAACTCTAACTCCATGCCAGTGTTTTTGCAGCCCTAAGCAAAGCTATACATAAAAATATGCTACGACCATTATTCTCAAAAGTCCTTGGCACTTTTCCTCTGATAATCTTACTTTCTTTTTTAATGGAGCAAATTGCATTTCTGCACTGGTATCATAAGGCAAAACTATTAATGCAATTACAAGGACAAGTTACCAAAAAACCCCAAGGCAAAGATAAACCCCACCCTCAGACCATCACCCCCAGCTCTGAATGCTTTGTGAAATAACATCATCCTTCCTCCTCATCACTGTCTTTCATTGTAATGCCCTGAAGTCCTCCCGCATCTGTGACTGAGACTGTGGCTTCCTCTACAGTCAGGCGGCTGTGCACGGTGTCGTAGGTTTTACTGTTCAGCGTCCCCTCCATCACGCCTTGCAACCTGAAGTCTCGGTAGGTTTTCTGTGGCAAAAGTAAAACATCCTGAATTGGACTCCAGCAAGTCTGAGCACTCTTTCACTATAAACTGGCCATTTCTAGCATGCTAGTAGCACAGGTTAATTCCTCCTGCAGGTTAAGGACTTATTGGCTTGATAAAATTTTGTGGTCTTAACTTTTGGGCTGCATGAGATTTCAAAAACTCTAGAGATTCTAATTTGATGGTCATTCCTTTAAGAGATTTTTTTTTGTGCTACAGCATACTCTAACTGCTGATTTCTCAGTAACTTCAATTTGTTTGATTTATTCAATAAGAAACCAGTTGAGAATTTTTCTAAATACCTGTTGAAATGTTAATTTGGCTACAGGTAGTTCAGTTCTGTCGTTTCACAGAAAATGTAAATGTCTGAGCTTTTCCCCATAATGTAATTTTATTTATATTTCTCTTTATATTTATATGCCAAATGTGGGAAAATAATGATTATATAATACATTATAATACATACTCTAATAATGAATACAGATTATGATCTATACTACATAGAGTCAGAATTACCCAGGTGACTACCTAGTTAATTTACATTCTAAGTCTCTACATTTTGATTCACATCTACTCTTTTTTTTCCATTTCAGAAAATTTTGTTTCCCTGGTATTCGTCCTCCCAATGAACAAGCAGATACGACTTTCTTCTTTGTTTTTCCATCATGTAAGAATTATGAGTGGAATTGTTTTATTCATCAATGCTATGTTCAAATAAGTACATGGAAAAATCACCTATGTACTTTATTTTTAAATTGTAACACGTGATATAATCTTTCCTGATGTTACCCTAAAGACTTAAAAAGGTTAAGTTGATATATACAGTTTATTATCTTGTGTATGCTATCACTACAAATTCTCAATGTTTTGGAAGAGAATATGGGGAAAAGAAAATGGAAGATAATTAAGGGCTATCAGGCCCATTCCTCTGCCTGAGGAAGAGACCATGTACAATCCTTAGAGAAAGAAAAGATTTGATCTTATTTCACTCCCTACTTCAGAGAACTGCAAAAGACCACTCTTAAAATGGGTAACATTCAGTTGGGAGAGTTTTTTTCCTGCCACTATGATGATTATTTAAACCTTGTTTGAATCACTGCAACTGAGGTTTATTTGACTTTCACAGGTCAACGTCAGAGTCAATGGATGCAGCTTATGTTTTGCTCACACACTCCTGCAAGTACCCCGCCTGGTCTTTTTCAAGTGTCACCATTGCATTCCCTTTTTATAACACTGTGCATTCAATTTGCTTTGATGCTGTTAACGGGTCCTACAAGCAATTTCCTTCACTTTTACATTGTATTCTTCCCATTCTCAGACCAGCACTCTGGGGTTCAGACACTGCTCTTCTCTTGACATAGTTTTGCAGGATAATAATGTTCACTTCCAAGCTTAATTTTTCATTTCTCCCTAACTTTCTTGGTCCTTGACCCTTCTTTAGTCACATCCCTCTGCACGTGTCTCAGACATCTAATGAAACCCTTATGCCATCATAAGCTTTAAAGAGAATAAAGGGAACAATGTTCCTTCTTCTAGGCTTTCTTAATAATGCCAATACTCTTGTTGCATCCAAATCTGAAAGAACTATATTTCTCTTACTCATCCTGTGTCCTTCAGAAATTATATCCTACTTATTTGATGTTTTATTGGTGTTTTTTGTTGCCGTTGTTTCTTTGGGTTTTTTTGGTTGTTTTTTGTTTGTTTGTTTGTTAAAAACTATTTTTAAGACGTGACAGGAGCAACACAGCTTCCTAGGTTTTTCTTGTGGGATTGGTTGGTTGTTTGTTGTTTATTTTTCTCTAAAGCAAATGCAAAAGTGCCATCATTCACTCTAGTCTGGAGGAACTGTGCCTCCCCACGTGTCTCTGCAGTTGGGCTGCAGCAGGAAAAGTTTCTTATGATACTCTTCTTGAACCACTTCTCTGTATTTTCCAGCAGCCTCTTGTCTACTGAGTTCCTGTTTTACCAGTTCTATCTTCACCCACCACAACCAAGGTCTACAAAATTTTCTGTTTTCCAGAACCGATATGATTGATATAATCTCCTTCAATCTTTAAGATCCACAGAGGGTGCCATGGAATAATACTGTTGGAATTTACATGCAGAGTAAACCAGGTATATGGGTACAGAAAGGCCAGAAGCAGTGTGCCCACCTACAGTAGGAGCCTCCTACTTCTGAACAAGGCTAACCAGTGTGCCAGGTAACAGAGGGAAGGCAGGCTGGCAGTGCTGCTCATCTACCTGAAATCCAGTTTTGTAAAAGTTTCCTCTAATCTCCCTGGTGATATTTCTCTTGTAGAATTTAGCCTGCCCATTCTTACATCTCACAGGGCACAGGTTTTAGATCCTCTAACACCTATCTTCTTCCTCAGAGAATGGTAACTACCTTGGAAAGGGACATTTTATAAGGGCATGGAGTGACAGAACAAGAGGGAATGGATTCAAACTGAGAGTAGGTTTGGATTAGATATTTGTAAGAATCTCTGCTGTGAGGGTGGTGAGGCACTGGAACAGGTTGCCCAGATAAGTTGTGGATGCCCCATCCCTGGAAGTGTTCAAGGTCAGGCTGGATGGAGCTCTGAGCAGCCTGGTCTTGTGAGAGGTGTCCCTGCCCATGGCAGAGGGGTTGGAATTTAAGGTCCCTTCCAACTCAAACCATTTTATGATTCTGTGATTCATTTGAGAATAGCTTTTAACAAGGAACATTCATTTTAACAAGGAACAGCAAACTGCTATTGCCATTTGAGCACACAATCAAGTGAAGAGCCAAATCCTGCTCCCACAGAAATCAGTTAAGGTCAAGAACAGCAAAGCTAACCTTGAGTTTTTCAGGGACCATGATGCCATCATTATTATGACTGTTTTCTTGCATTTCTCTCTGTTCTGTTCCTTTTTGCTAGTGAATCCTGAAAGCTTCAGTTGCAATTCTGGTGACCAAGAGTTAAAATGCTTCTGGATTTATAGTCTTGCATGAACTTAATGAGAAAATATTTTTAAGAAATCAAGGTCACCACTAACAAAAGGTGTTTCTTACTCCACATTTGTACAGATAACAAGAATGTCCAAAGCTAAACAAGACAGAATTAAAAGGAAAAAAATCTGAAATGGTTTTCTGTCCCTTGCTTAAGGATATCAACTAATGTCTGAAAGGGATTTAGGAGGAAACTTTCTTTTATGGTAGATTAACCCATAATTGTCTCTTGCAAGACATGTTACACTCTGCTTGGAAGCATTTGACATTGGACAATGTAAACAACTGAGGACTGAAGTGGAGAGACTGGTATTTCTATTGATACTTATCTCTGAGTATGAAAGATTAGAAGATATTATCTAATACATTGAATACTGTTTTCAATTAAGCCTAGTAATTACATGGGTATAAAAAAGAAAATAGTTCCTTTTTTTAGGAAAAGGGGGAAAATGGAGGTGGAACACTATTGAAATTATTTAGGTAAAACAAAGAATCAGTAACAAGACATAATAATTTAGTAAGAATAATCATACAGCAATGCTGTACAACTAGCTGCAAAATTTCTTGAAACTACCTTAATTGCCCCCAAGTCCATAATCTATGACAATACTAGTGCACATGTGATTAACATTAAGGGGTTTAATAAGTTATTTTACTTCTGGAATTTGCTACAATTGTGGGGAAAAGAAATCCCAACCTAAAACTACATAAGTTTACAACTTTATTCCATATTTACTAACTTTTGGGTTGATCATCCATGTTATTACTTTATCACTTTTCTCTCTTTACTATGCAGTCTAATGTAAACATATTTTATTTACCTTCACTATCTTGATGAGAGTCTTCAGCTGGTAGATGTGAAGCTGAATGTCTAATCTATCAGCCAACCACACGCATATGGCTTTCATGGAGTTGCTATACCATTGCTGAAAAGAAGGATAAAAAAAACCAACAACAAACACCACCAAATAACCCTGCAGTATTCGTTTAACAGATTTGGTAATGAGAGGTAATGAAACACTTTGAAATGATCACAGATCAGCACTTGCAGTCAACAATGATATAATTTCCTGTTATGAGAATTGCATGGGTCAGTAGAAAATCAAATAACTTGACCTAAACCATTCTTTACATGAATTAGCACCTGCCATTTTATCTTTCAGTTACAACATGTTCAAGCAAAATAGCGTTATGCACTTTGTTATCTGTCAGTGAGAATGGATATTAAAGATACAATTACAGGAGAGAATTGACAGCTAAAACAGCAAGGATAGAAACAGGTAAGATATCTTGAGAGACAATTTACAGTAACTAGATTTTTCAATCCAAACACAAAAATAGTACCAGAAAATAAGAAGTTTGTCCTTTTCTTTTCTTTTCTTTTCTTTTCTTTTCTTTTCTTTTCTTTTCTTTTCTTTTCTTTTCTTTTCTTTTCTTTTCTTTTCTTTTCNCTTTTCTTTTTCTTTTCTCTCATTACATCATTAAGTAAAAAATATCAAGAATACCTGGAAACTGTTTTTAAATATGATCAAAACACCACTCCACCCTTGCCAAAGTAACCATATTAAGGTTTTGGTTTACATTAATTACTAATTATAATTACAGCCTACCTTATTTCCTTTTTATGTCTTAGGCATGGCATGTTTTCACTCAACATTTCACAAATGGATGGGTTAAGAATAAGCCCTCTGCTGCTGGCGTCCATGTTACTGTAAAAAAATGCTCAGTTCCAAATAGCTACTGTAATAGTTCTTTCACATTAACTGAATTAGAAGAGATTTTACTAAATATAGTTGTAGCATTTATCCCGCTCCTGTAAAATCACAACCAGGTGCCATTTAGTCAAACTGTAAAAAGGATTTTTTTTTTCATTTTAATAGTGAGAGATTAAAAGAGTTTGTGTCATAGCTCCGTTTCTAGTCTCTTTTCCCACAGGAAAGAGGTTTAAATTATTTTCTAATATAATTTCCTGTGTCTTTGTAAAATAGAGATATGCAAAGAGAGGAAATCATGTGCATATTTTAAAATGCAGCATGTTAGGCAAGGTATATTTTGTGAAAGTAGTTGAAAGGAAGTATCTAACATGTCTTATTATCCACCTCCACATGAAGAAATAAAATATAATAAATACTGAAAATATGAAGACAAATTACTTGTTACTGGAAATAGAAGTCTTTCATCAAAATGTAAGCTCTCTGTAAAAAGCTTGAAAGACATAAAGTAAATAACTACAAATACCTTTTCCTTACAAGGAACAGTCTCATCACACTGTAACTATCAGTTTTAAGATAAGTTTGAAGTTTATATTTTCGAATGTGTTAAACTGTATTTTAATTATAAATCACTGAGAATAAATTACTTTTACTTTTTAGAGTTTCTCCTATTAATTTACTATTTTACAGAAGTGAAAAAATGCACCACAAAAAAGGGAGACAGCTACATATTTCATAAAAGTAGTTTTATTTAGTCACTAAAATGGGACTGATTAGATATCCATAAAATACTGTTTTAAAATCACTGAATGACATTCTTATCCCATTTACATTATTTCATCCCTAACATGCATGCTGGTATTGATTAATTTGTAAGTACCCACAAAATATTTTTAATGCGACAGATTTGTTACTAAGTGGTAAACTATATGACAAGTGTTGTATATATAGATGTCCAGAAAATAAAATACAATTGTGATTATTAATTGAACTCTATTGATTTAAATAAACATAAAAATTCCTGCATTCTATGCAAATGCAATATGATAAGCCAAGAAATTATATTATCACTCAGACTCTACTGTTTTTAATTGTGAACACAATCCCGGTAAAGAGAACTATTTTAGTAGGGGAGCTTTTTGAAACTGATATTCTTCCAGTAATGCATCCGTTATGTATTTTTTTTTGTACCAAGTAGAAAGCAAAACGGGTTCAAACTCTTGCTCAGACAAACAGCCTACAGACAGGATTGAAAATTCTGAGACTGATTTTCCCATGCAACAATACTAAACAGTACTGAACAGTACTGAACAGACAGATTACTGACAACAGACTGTTCCAGTTTTCTGGCAAAATGTTTTAAAGCCCAGCCTGGAAAATGATTTAAGATGGATGCAGTAAAATCTCGACTCTACATACCTGTAGTATTTTTGCATGCACTGAAAATAAAGCTAAGACATTGCAGGAAATTAATTTTCTATTCAACTTTATGGATGAAAGCAATATAATATGTTTTCCTGACTAGCTTTGATACATTAAACTTTCAGTACAAATGTTTAATTTGGTGATTGTGACATGATACTACAGTACTTGCTCTTCTGTCAACATATCTTGTTCAGAAAAACTATGACTGTTGTTTTATTTTAAAAAAGGTATTTTTATTTTTGTCATAGTATTTTTAATAAGAATCACATCCAGTGTATTTGTAGAGTCCTCCCAGAGGTACCTGTGGGTAGGATTCTTGTTAATGATTGATCTTATATGCAGTAGTTTTGAGGACTTAGTATAGGCTGAAGCTGCATAAACTTAAATCTGCTGGACTTCATAATAAGAATATAAAGATTTCTCTATAACTCCTTTTTGAGTCAGTTAAAAAGCACAGCACTGCAAATTCCTCTCAGAGAGGAAACCAAGACCACACATTTTGACAACCATGAGCATCTTAGAGAGGTAGGGATGGATCTACTGTGACTGACAGGAATCTATTGCAAACCCCAAAACTTCAGTGATGGGATAATTGTCCTGAGATTACCCAGTTAAAACAACAGCAACAACAATCACTTTTTACTGGTTTTAAGAAAAACTAACTTTCCCATTAGTAACAATAGCAGTGAAAGGACAATGCATTTCTTGCAGATGTTCATTATATGGTACTACTGCCACATTCTTTACTGTTGTCTATGCAAGAGTAAAGCAGTAAATGCTTATATATTTTTTCAAAATCAGCAAATAACAACAGCCAGCCACTTTAACAAAAATGTTTGCCTCACTATTTCCTCCTCTCTCCTTATTCACAGCCCATCCAATTCCTGTAAGGGCATGCATTACTCACTTCATTTTCCTGAGATACCTCTTTCAAAGTAAAAAATAAGAGAAAAGGAAAGGCTAGGGTTGACTCTGTGAGACCCTTGTATTTATTCACACTTATTGTGCATGACTGTACACTGGTAAATCATATTAGCAGCCCGTCTCCCCATCAAGCTGCTACTTGCTTTCCAGCCCTGGGAAGGTTCAACAAATCAACAGGAGCACGGAAAACAGAACATCAGTCTAATCTAGTGTTTAAGGTGAAGTTTTCAAACCCAATCTAAGAAGATCTTTAGAGCAAGCAACAAGCTGAAGGGCTCAGAAGGTGGTATTGACAATGAAAGAGTGTTGAAATATTGAGAAGCGCAGCACTTGTGCATTTTTAATAACAAGAGGGTCAACAAGGACACAGCTCCCTCAGTGCCAATAGTTGCCACACCAGAGCTATAAACGCTCTCAGTTCATCAGATTTCTTAAACAGTTCATCAGCTTTCTTAAACACCCTAAACCCCCTCAGCAGACCTTTAGTCTTAAATTAACAAACCAAAGCAATGAAAGAGGGTGCAGCTTGAATGGCCAGCATTGATCCCCAACGGGGCTCGGCGCAGCTACAGGCACTGAAAAACTCGTTCCATTGTCAGGAGGAATTGACAAACCTCCTTGCCTAAATAGTCCAGCTCAGACGGGCTGGAGGCACGCAGCTGTAAAGGGCTCCCCTCGCCCCGCTCCCAGCACTCACAATGCGCCAGGCATGAGCTCTTTGTCAGGCCCAGACTCTGCAATTTTCTAACAAGGATTAAAGTTGTTTCTCGGCAGGGCTAGTGAAAAGCGATTTAGCAACACATCGTGCTTTCTTCAGGCAAGTTAAAGAGAAGTAGTTAAGGAATTTCATTATTTTGCTGACCAGTGGAAATACAAAACAAATACAATAAATATTCACCATCTTTCTGGGTGCCTGAGCTACAACATTTGCAGAATGGTTCAATTAAATATAACCCTTATCAGCTGAAAGCAAGCACTTCAAATTTATTTTTGAAGATTTATAAAAAGGTGCAGCTGTCTGCCACCTGGAAGGAGGCTCAATACATAGCAATACACAATGATTTAGTCCTTCTAGGGCTGGTATCCCTAACACCTAAGACACAAGACCCCGTTGAGTTTCTGTATCTTGACTGCTCTTGATAAATGGGCATTGTCATAATGCTTTCTCCGTTGAGTATGGCAGGGGAACAGCTTTCCTAGGAACTGCATTTTATGCTCCTGCGGAAGCCTTTATCACACTATTGATCAGGAACTTGGTCGCTCAGACAACAACAGGATGTTTCTACTCCTTTCAGCTTTACTTGCCCTTCCAGAAACAAAAAGTATACTTCTCACTAAAGACAATGTACACCAAATACAGCATAAGCTAAAATGAGAAAATAAGAATGAGCTAATATAAGACAAAACATGAGCAGGTTAAAATTTAAGTGCAAAAATGTGCGTCAAGTTTATGATAGAGAGCACTACAAGCAGACAATGGTACTTTTAGAACATTTAAAAAAAATGTTAAATAGGGAAAAAATAAAAAAGTTATTTCTTAAAAATGCAAACAGCAAAAGCTTAAAAAATGTTCTGATTTAAATGTCATAATTTATTTCCCTTTTTGCAAAATACAAATAGTCATACTGATTGCCTTTGTGCAATGTTAAAAATAATGAGGGACACAAATGTTATTTGTAGTGTTTTTGAAAATCCTCAGAGGTTTAGAAGGTATAGGTGTATTTTCAAGTTAAGTGTAGATATAATCCACTTAAGTGAAGATTTTTACCTCAGCAATGATGAATTCATACACTCTTCTGAAAGCTGGGAAGTCTCGGTAACTGAAAGCACCCTCCAAGTCGGGGGGGGGGTCATCATGATGCTGC